CGGGTGATGGCGCGGGCCCCCGCCGCTATCTCGGCGGCTCGAGCGCTTCTGGGCTCCGGCAATTCGAGCGGTGTGAACGATGGGTTTCCCGATGAGAAGCAGAGCGACGGAGATGGAGCTACAGAGGTTCCGCAAAACGTTAAACTTGGTAATTAATTTTGTTCAAATTTCGATTTCTAGATGTTCGAGCCATTGCTTGCTTATTGTTGAACAGTTTTAAGTGCTCATTGACTTGCAAGTTAATGGCTTTTCAAGCATCTTTTGTTGTCTGCAAAGTATTCGTCACAATGTGTTGTCACTTGTTCGGTTGCATTGCATTAGTGGTTGGATTCATTAGCCTCGTCTGGGTTTTGAAATACAGAACATTGATGATTTTAGTTCTATTGATGCATAAAGTTCATCAATGGAATTCCAACCCAGTTGGTTAAAGAAATTGATTCTTACACCTTATTATTGGAGCACACCAGGAACATGGAGTCGGACTGTCTATGTGCCACGGTCAGTGATTACTGGATCAGGGACACCAGGACCAGATTTCTGGTCATGGACTCCTCAAGGTGTTGAAACAAGTTCCAATGGTGATGGTCACTTGCAGTCTGCGCTTGAGTCTACTGTTTTTCCTACCTTTGTAAATCCTGTAATGGAGAAAGAGCTTTCGATGGATTCTCTTTCCATACCATTTGAGAGCAAGGCTTCTACCAACAGACAAAGCTTTATTCTCCCACCATTTGAGTCTTTGATCGAGGTTGACAGAACGGAGAAGGCTGAGCTCAGCTCTGAGACGCATTCCCTGAATGTAGAACATGACCTTGAGGTCATATCTTCCGCAAATGCTGCAGAAGCTGCTCATGCTCTCAATGATTTGGATGAATCTGCATCCTATGGACTGAGCCAAGATGGAACAAAGTGGTGGAAACAAACAGGGGTTGAGCAAAGGCCAGATGGCGTGGTTTGCAGGTGGACTATGACACGTGGGGTTACTGCTGATGGTGTTGTTGAGTGGCAAGACAAGTACTGGGAAGCTTCCGATGAATTCGGGTATAAAGAACTTGGCTCGGAGAAGTCAGGACGTGATGCAGCTGGAAATGTCTGGCGCGAGTTCTGGAGAGAATCTATGTTGGAGGTCAGTGGAAGTTAAAACTCGTTATATCATATGTTTTTTTTTCTGTTAGATAAGATACAATCAATGAGGAAGTTGAAACTTAAATTGTCATTACAGGAACATGGAGTTGTGCACTTAGAGAAAACTGCAGACAAATGGGGAAAGAATGGCAAAGGTGATGAGTGGCAAGAGAAGTGGTGGGAACACTATGATGCTTCAGGTAAATCTGAGAAGTGGGCTCACAAGTGGTGCAGCCTTGACCGCGATACACAGCTTGAAGATGGTCATGCCCATGTTTGGCACGAGAGGTACGTTAAATCCTCGTTTCAACTGACAGAATCACCATTAACACAACACAATCCACACGAGACAGATCGTTCTGCGAGTATAATTCAATACTGTCACTGTTCTGACGAAGTTGCCATTAGATTTCGGCATTGTAATTGTTATAAACTCACATCGACCAAGTATGAGATCGGTTGATGTTTTATAAGACTATGGACACTCTCTAGCTGTTGGGGTGAATCTACGCATGGACCTTAAATATGGATTAAATTGGGTCCATTATGGAGTGGATTCTATCAAATTGGTATGAGAGTGGTCCGATGATTGGGCAGTCTCTCTCCCACCAAGTTAGTTTTTGGTGTGAGTTCTACTCATGATCCTTAGAAAGATTTTCTTGGGCCTGTTATGGATTGGTCCTATCAATAACCTAATCGAAATGATCCCACTATTCCTTGCTAGTTTTCTTGAGATCGGTTTCTATTCATCAGGTGGGGCGAGAAGTACGACGGGCAAGGAGGAAGCACAAAGTACACAGACAAATGGGCGGAGAGGTGGCAGGGGGGCGGGTGGGACAAGTGGGGGGATAAATGGGACGAGCATTTCAATGCAAATGGGCACGGGGTGAAGCAAGGGGAGACGTGGTGGGAAGGGAAGAACAGTGAGCGATGGAACAGGACATGGGGCGAAGGTCACAATGGCTCGGGATGGGTCCACAAGTACGGGAAGAGCAGCAACGGAGAGCACTGGGACACGCACCTCCAGCAGGCCACCTGGTACGAGAGGTTCCCTCATTACGGGTTCTATCACTGCTTTGATAACTCGGTTCAACTCCGAGCTGTTCGGAAGCCTTCTGAGTTGTCTTAAAGACCGTATCCGTTATGTGTTGTGATGTTTCTATGTTTCTGGAGGTTAAAGTCTCTTATGTTGGCGTAGCTTTTATTCGTTTCGTAGTATTAACTAGGTGAAACTCCATCCCTTCCTTCATGGTGGGGAATTATATCATACGTAAGATACATAGCTCTAAGCATATATTGATGTGTGTGTGTATGTGTGTATGTATGCATGTATGTGTGTGTGTGTATGTATGCATGTATGTATGTATGTATGTATGTATGTATGTATGTATGTATGTATGTATGTATGTATGTATGTATGTATGTATGTATGTATGTATGTATGTATGTATGTATGTATGTATGTATGTATGTATGTATGTATGTATGTATGTATGTATGTATGCATGTA